CACTCACCTCAGCCTCCCAAAGGCACGGGATTACAGGCTGAGCCACCGAGGCCGGCTGTTATTTTGGCATATTTTCTTCACAACATTCCAGGTTTTTAACATGTTTTTGTGGGCAGAAACAAATGTATGTTTACCAATTTATCTTTGATCCTCTTCTGCTTTTGTCAAAGTTATTTTTTTTCTGACTTCTTTCCCTTCCTCTCGATCCTCCCCACCTCTGATTTCCCTCCACACCAATTTTGAACACATTTGAACCTCTGCTTTGATGATGTTAAGAATCAGAAGATGGAGGAGGACCTTTTCTTTTCTTCTTTGTTTTTGAGATGGAGTCTCACTCCGTTGCCCAGACTGGAGTGCAGTGGCACTCACAGCTGCCCCAGTGTCCACCTACTGGGCTCCAGCGATCCTTCCGCCTCAGCCTTCCAAGTAGCTAGAACTACAGGCACGCACTAACACGCCCTGCTAATTTTTTATTTATTGTAGAGACACAGTCTCACCAAGTTGCCTGGACTGATCTGGAACCCGTGGGCTCAGGCAATCCACTCGCCTCGGCCTCCCAAAGTGCTGGGATTACAGGCTGAGCCAACGAGCCTGGCTGGGTCTTTTCTTTTCTATAGTTGTCCACGACAGCTGAGAATATTTCCTCATCCTCTTACTCTCCCCCAAACCACTGCAGAATGTCACCCCATAGAAAGTTCCAGGTGCCTAGAACTTATTTAGCTATATGGCTGAAATTTGCTTCTCTCTCAAAAAGTCCTTGCGGACTTAGCCACTGTCATAACAAATGCCGACCACAGTTGGGTGGGACATTTTCTCTGCTCTGGTTCTTTTAGTTGAAAGTTTGGGCAGTTCATCCATTTATTGAAAAGCAATGGAAATGACTACGTCAGAGATCTGACAAATTGGTCCCATATTTCTGTAAGACAAATATTTTAGAGCTGAGAGTATTAGGGTTTGAGGTCCAAGATAAAATCCTGTATTTATCATGACTGTGAGCTCAGTAAATTAGTATGGTCAACTAATTAGGCACAGGCTGGCTTTTCTTCAGACAGGTTATTGCCAACACAGGCTGGCTTTTCTGCAGACAGGTTATTGCCAACAACCATTTCATCTCAAGGTGGCTTCCTCCAACATGGAAGCTTCAGGGATGCTAGGAACCTAAATAAGACAGAATTAAAGGTCACTTCAGGTCTGTAGCTCGATGACATCACATGTTACATTTAAGAATCAACATAAATATGTTTGGAATGATTTGTTTCCTCATATTTTTCAAGTTCTGCAATTCCAGTGAATCAAGTGTAGCAGCTGACCACTAGTACTGAGGAGACTTCTACCTAGGGAGAATATTGAGATTGGCTGATGACACCTGTGTGGGGATGGACGTGATAGTGCCCCTGCCACAATTAGCCATCCCTGCTGGGGTCATTGGAAATTGAATGTGAGGAGCAGGGAATAAGGGCAATGAAACCTGCAACAGATTATTCTGGATCAAAGAAAACCACCTCCTATCAGATCTTTATAACATATCTCAAGATGGTCATATTATGATACAAAGTTTATATACCAATTTATCTCCTCAACAGGCAATAGCGTTTAACAAATTCATAACTCTGGGCTGGGCATAGTGGCTCAGGCCTGTAATCTGTCAGTAACCCTCAGCCTCCCAAAGAGGCCGAGGAAGAAGGATTACTTAAGTCCAGGAGTTCAAGACTAGCTTAAGCAACATAAAGAGAACTCTCTACAAAAAAAAAAAAGTTAGCCAGGTGTGGTGGTGCATTTTTGTAGTCCCAGTAACTAGGGAGGCTGATAAGGAAGGATTGTTTGAGCCCAGGAGTTGGAGGTTGCAGTGAGCCATGACCATGCTAGTGCATTTCAGCTTGGTCAATAGGGTGAGACCTTAACCAAAAAAAAAAAACAAAAAAATCACAACTCTAGGCTCTGTTCATAGTTTATAATAAAGAATAATAATTTTAGGTGGGTCTCAATTATGAGGACATATTAATTGAGCTGAGATTCTTTTCCTACTGGGGGATATATGGCAAGCACACATTTTTATTTATTATGTACACGAATGTCTTGAACTGAGGCAGAACATTTACTTAACCCGAGGGTTGCCTTGATAACATACATGTAAACAAAATCTTAGAATTTTCTAATACTGCTATCTGGAATTAGTAGTCCCAAGGGAAGTCACGAGGGAAGGTGTGTGTTGTCTGTCTCTGTTTCACTCCTGTGATGAAGCCTGATTCTCTAGGGTTATAATTCACCTTCTGTCTCAGTGCCCTGGTAATGTGCCTGTTTTCTGGAGGGAGAGCCAAGAGGTTCTTTTGAATGAAATATGAAAATACACCCAAGGACAATCCATGGAATGTTCTTTTCTTGCGACCAGGAAAGCACTACGGGGTGTACAGCTGCGAGGGCTGCAAAGGGTTCTTCAAAAGGACCATCAGGAAGGACCTCATATACACGTGTCGGGATAACAAAGACTGCCTCATCGACAAGCGCCAGCGCAACCGCTGCCAGTACTGTCGCTATCAGAAGTGCCTTGTCATGGGCATGAAGCGGGAAGGTGAGGCCCCCCCATGGGGACAGGTACGCAGGAAGGAATGGGGGGTAGGGGGAACAACCCTGCTGGGTGAGGCCGTGTGGGAAGTGGAGGTCTGAAGTGAGGTTCAGATGGCTTTGGTGCCTAGTGCTGAGGTGACTTCTGCTTAGGGAGAGCATGGAGTTTGGTTCATGATACCTGTGGGGACAGTCATGTAGCACTCCTGACACAATTAGCCATCCCTGCTGGGGTCATTGGAAACTGAATGTGTGGAGTAAGGAATAAGGACAATGAAACCTGCAACAGATTACTCTGGATCAAACAAAATCATCCCCTATCAGATCTTTATATCATATCTCAAGATTGTCATATTCGATGATGTAAAGTATATATACCAATTTACCTCCTCAGCAGGCAGTAGCATGACTTCTTGAGTGTTGCAACTGAATGTTCCCTTGCCCTAGGGAGTGTGTATCTCCAGGGCAAAGAGGGCAGGGGGAGTCTTCCTCTTCCACTTTCTCCAGACCTCTCCCGGAGCCCAAAGAGTTGTCCCCAAACCAGACCCTCTCCCATTTTCTTCTAGTAGCCAGGCAGCAAATCTCAGAACTGAGGTTTCAGGGTCCTTGTGCTCTGCTCTACAGTGGAATGCCAGCCTGACCTTCAGGGTACATCTAGCTTCCCTCCTCTAATCCTAGGTCTCTTTTATAAGCTTGGTCTGCTATAAATCCTTTCATATATTCCACCATCTTTTGGCATTATTGGTATCTTACAGATCTGACAGTCCCAACTTTGTCATTCAGAGAAACCTCCATTGTGCATTTAAACTGTTAAATCTTTTAATTTATAGTGTAGATTAGCTGGGCTACTTTAGTGTCAGAGAAAAAATATCTGAAAGTGCTTTCTGTTCCTTCAACAGATCGAAAGCCTTTCCACTAAATAGCAAATAGATGAAATTAGGCATTGAATTAACTAGTGAACTCAAGCGAGAACATGGGGTTAGTGGTGAATCTTAATAGACTTTAGTGTAAGGAGGTCCTGCCCCTCTGTAGGAAACAGGAACAAGGGGTTTTATCAGTCCTAGCAGGCTCCTTATTCCTGAGGAACCTCTTTTCTATGAGGAGGGGGAGTCTGATAAAAGGACCACTGAAGGACCAGGCTCTTTGCCACCAACAAGAAAACATAAATCTTGTAATCTTAGCATGCCAAGATAGAGGTGACCCTGTGGAATCACCCAATCAGTGTAGCCATTCTGCGGATGGGGAAACAGGTGCAGAAGGTGAGCTGAGTTCACCAAGGTCTGAAGGCAGCAATGAGTTGACACTGGGTCTCTGGCTCCCAGATTGGTGCTTGTCTCACATCTCCTCTCCTGCCAGGGTGTGAGGGCACTGGGGACTACCCTTGTCCTGACATCTAGCAGGAATCTCCAAATCAACAGAGCTCCTGATCATGTGCCCCACCCCTGCCTGTTCACTGCACAGTCTTCCACTCTCAGGAAATGACTGTTCGCTTCTCAGCTGCTCAGACCAAACTCCTCTGACTCCCTTCCTGCTTTCTTTCACACACCACGGCAATGGGTGATGTCTCCTCAAACTATGCCCAGCATCCCTCCATGCCTCACTACTTTTACGGCTACCACTGAAGCCAAGCCACTTATATCTTTTGCAATAATCCAGATAGCATCCTCAGATATCTCCCTGCTGCTGTCTTTGTCTTTCTACGATATCCTCTTAGCAGAGCAGTCAGAGTGAGGTTTTGGACAAGTGGGTCGGGTCAAGCCATTCCTCCACCCAAATCTTTCAGTGTCTTCCTTTCTCACCCAGAAAAAGGCAACATCCTTGTTGTGACTTCAAGGTTGTACATGGTCTGGCTGCCCCACTGCCTCTGCTTCAGCCTTCCTGGTTGCTCTACTGGTCCTCAAATGAACTAGGAATGTCCTCTATCTCAGGGTCTTTGCACTTGCTATCTGTCGATCCAGAATGCTTTTTTCCCAGGTGTCTACATGGCTCACTTCTTCTCTTCCTTCAGGTCTTTACTCAACTGTCACCTTCTGGGCAAAGCCTTGCCTGGTTTCACTGTCTACAATTGCATTAGCCACCCCCAGTGCTTCCGTGTCTCTTTCCCACAGCATTGATCTCTATCTAGCATATTTATTTCTCTTGTTTATTGTCTTATCCATGAAGACAGAGGTTTTGTCTGCTTTTCCCCCCACTGCTATATCACCAGTGCATTAGTGTACTAGCGTATCACTAGTACATTACAGCAACTTAATAAATAAATTGTTAAATAAATGATTTAAACTGAAGGCTGAAATCAGAAGTTTGAGAGATGCAAGACTTTCTCACAATCACTCATTCAGTCATTCATTGAGCATGTATGGGCGCTGCCTTTGTGCTTATTCATAACCTGCCATGGCAGGGGACTAATGAGATACAGATTGGGACATATGATGTGAACTGTCAACTGGGAAAAACTGTCTTCTTTCTGCCAGGATAGAATTGGTAATCCTTGTAGCTCCTCCCACCATGATTGTCAAAACATGAACTTGATGATCACAAGTGTGTCTCCCCTAGCAACAGCATAATGGTTGTGTGGTCATTTTTCTCCTCCTAGAACATATGAAATACATTTTAGGTTGACTTTGAAAAATAACAATTTTCAGGTAGGGCCCGGTAACTCTTGCCTGTAATCCCAGCACTTTGGGAGGACAAGGGAGGAAAGTTGCTTGAGCCCCAGAGTTCAAGATCAGTCTAGGCAACTTAGCAAGATCTCATCTCCACAATGTCTTTTGCAACAATGGGAATGGAATTGGAGAACATCATTCTAAGGGAAACTAACTCAGGAACAGAAAACCAAGCACCGTATGTTCTCACTTACAAGTGAGAGCTAAACCAAGGACATGCAAAGACATGGAGAATAGTATAATGGACTCTGGAGACTCAGAAGGGGGAGGGATGGAGAGACCAAAATAATAATAATAATAATAATAATAACCTACTGGGTACAATGTGTATGAGTGGGGGTGGTGGGTACACTTAAAGCCCAGACCAAAACTATTTGTACCCTCCAAAGCTATTGAAATTAAAAAATAAATAAAATAGTCTAGGCAACATAGCGAGATTTCATCTCCACAAAAAAATTAAAAAAATTAGGTGAGCATAATGGTGTGTGCCTGTAGTTCCAGCTACTCGGGAGGCTGAGGCTGAAGGATTGCCTGAGCCCAGAAGGTCAAGGCTGTGATGAGCCAAGATTGTGCCACTGCACTGCAACCTGGGCAACAGAGTAAGACCCCAACTCAAAAAAAATTTTTGTTTTAATTAAACACATGATATTGAATTAAAGGAAGGTGGATGTCCTCAGTCAGAGAAACATAATTTCTCTTTCTTCATTGTTCGTCTAATGCATCTCTCAAAAGTCAACCTGAATATCTCCCAGCTCAGTTAGGGTCAAAGTCGTCAACAGGTCACATGATGGGACATTTGCTTCTTTCATTAAAAAACACACACACACAACAAACAAACATGCAAACAAACACCAGTAAGTAAATAAAACAGTAACATGAATTACAAGAGACTGAACAGTCCTTGTTTCAAACCGAAGATTGTCCTGGTAATTTAATTAAAAAATTGGACCCAGTTTTTGCTACAATAAAGAATGTGGAGAAACAGGAGTGATGAAAACTTGAGTTAACAACATTGGTAGAGAAAAAGAAGCTCTTAGAGAACTTTCTAATGAGGATGATCTCATTTACTCAGACAAAGAGAAGTCAATGAGTTCTTCGTCTCACTATGTGAAGGGGGCCACTTTTGAAAGGCCACTGGACAGCCTTTCCTTCCCACCATCATTTCTGGCCTTACAGAATTTGGGGCTCCATCTGGGCACTTTCTTGAGAATAAGAATAATAACATCCAGGAGCAGATAACTGAGAGAGACTACAGAAACTACACAGAAAGAGATGGAATTGTGTTGGACTCAGAATTCACCTGCTGGGGAACAGGAGCCAAGTCCTGTAGCCCTTTCAGGATATATGAGGCTAGAGTAGATATTTGCTGTTCTCATGTAACATATCCAATTTCTAAAAGAAGAAACAAAAGTTCAGAGAGGCAAGGGACCTGCCTAAGCTTACACAGCAAGCAAATGGCAGACCTGGTGTAGGACCGGGACCCTCTGACTCCCAGGCCACCTCTGGAGTTCTGGGAAGTCTGTTTCCATGATTTCTGGTCACATACACGTAGTATCAAAACTACAGAAGGAACTATCTTTGAGGCCATTTGCAGGCAGCATTGCATTCTTATGAGCCCCGTAAGCCCTTTATTACTCCAACTTGCCTAGTGTCTTTGATGTAGGACAGAGGGGCAAGAGATAGGCTCGAGAGACAGCCACTGTGGGTCCACCTGCTGGTTCCACCACTGTCTACTTTCGACCTCAGGCAGTTTGCTAGCATATCTATGGCTCATAGTCCCTCAGGAGGCTGTTGTAGAAATTAAATAAAATAGAATCTGTAAAAGTGTTGAGCATAATTCCTGACACAGAGAAAGTACTCCATCCATTTTGGCTATTGTGGTAAATTTCTAATAAATACAAATGGGACCCCCAAAACCCAGATTTTTAATAAATAAAAAGTGTGTATTTAATCTTACATGTATAAACTTCAGCCACCTTCAAAGTACTCTCTATCTGATGCAATACACCTATGGAGATGCTTTATCCACTGCTCAAAACAGTTTTTAAACTTGTCCATTTTGATGCCTTTTAGTGCTTCTGCCGTTTTTTTGTTTCATCTCTTCCATATCAGCAAAATATTTTCCTTGGAGCACTTTTTTTTTATCCAGGGAAACAAAAAAAAATTCACTTGGAGTGAGGTCGGGTGAATAGGGAGGGCGGGCCATGGGGGTCATATCATTTTCGGTCAAAAACTATTGAACACTCAGCGTGGTGTGGGCAAGTGTGTTGTCAGGGTGGAAAATCCAGTCACCTGTTTGCCACAGCTCAGGACATTTCTTCTGCAACACAGCCTCCCACAACAACGCTAGCTGGTACACTGATGTCCATGGGTTCCTAGAACACTCAACTAGTGGGGGAAGCCTGTGCTACAAAAGGGCCCACCCTCCAAAAGATAATTGTGGTAAGTTTTGGGTCCTCCCTCATATATGTTGGATGAGTGGATAATATTCCATTGTCAAGCAGGAGTTTGGTACAATTTTAGATCATTCAAGTTTCCCTGGACGGCCCTGATGTATGTCATAGCAGTAGCTCAACCTATCTGCCATGTAGAAGATATCCCTCAATAACAGATATAGGACTCTTCGTTTATGACAGGAAGATTTATGGTGCAAAGAGGAAAAGTGATTAGCAAAGGACCACTCAATTAATGGCAAAATAGAAATTAGAATCTAACTCCCTGAAGTCAAGGTTATTTTCTTTGAGCCTTGAAGGTTATTTTCTCGAATGTTACAAGTCTGTGGAAGAAATTGATTGAAGACTACCTACAAAATTTAACTTAGTTTTGTTTCTCTCATCATTTAAAATCAAGACAAATAGAAGCCCATTCACCTACCTTTCAAGAATTAATACAAGAAGCATTCAACTTTAGCTAGCCAATCCAACTATGATTAAAAAATACATATCATAGTTTCTAAATGATGTCAGTGAGTGAAGACTGATGATGTGAATGGGATGTAAAGATGAGACAGAAAGAGGGACAGAATAAAGAATTGGTGGAAGAGGCCAAAAGGGAGATGGAGAGACAAGCCCGGGGGAATAAGAGGATACAGGGGGAAAGAGGAAGTAACTATTTTTATGGAGTTTTTATAATTATTTCACTAATCTCCACAAAACCATTTCAGTTAAGTGCTAAAATATCTGCTTTACAAATAAGGAAACTGAGACTTGCTAGGCTAATGATTAGTCCAATGCTATTTAGTGAGTAGATGATACAGCTACGTTTGAAAGAGTTTTTTTGACTCCACGGCACATGATTTTGCTCTACACTCTCTCCCGTCTTCTCCTCTCTGTCCTCTCTCCTTTCTGTTTCCTCCTTCCTCACCCCTGGCTTCATTATCTCTTTCCTTTCTTCCTTTTCTCCTTCCTTCCTATCCTCTCCTAACCATGCGGCCCCACTGTGGACCTGAGGGTCTCGGCAGGTCTTCACTAGACTTGGGAGTGTAAGTGGTTTTTGCAGTGTTATCCTTCTCTGACCTACCTTGAGAGATGGATATTGCTCACCCGACACATGAGATGCCCAGCACCCAGGCTCCAGTTCATCTGCGGCCTACGTGGCTCACTACCCCCTCACGGAGGAGGAGGAGTGTCGGGAAGTGGACTGTGGGGAGGGAGGGAGGAAGCCGAGAGGCAGGAGCTGCTAGTGGAGTAGCTGTCACTGAGCTTCAGGCTAGTCACCTGCAAGGATGCTAATTTTCTTGACTCTCAGGATGTAAAAAATGTGTTCTAAGATTGAATTGCTGCTGGGAGTAAGATGGAAGCCTCAACCTCCTCAGTGATTGAGACTAACTAAGCAGAGGCTATTCTCCTGATGAAGAGGCAGCATTGAGAAGGGAGGGGTCTGCCTTCCATCCTGATGTAGAGACACAGAGGGTTCTGGGAGCAGCAGTGAACCTTGATGAAAACCCCAGGCTTTGGGAAGGCTGAGATAATTCCAGCCTCCCCCTTTGCCTGGGAACCCTCCTCCACCTCCAATCAGCCGCTGAGTCTGAAATGTCATCTAGGTGACATCCCTCCACCCCTTCACTTACTAAATACCCACAGCTGGCTCCCTGAAGATCTTCCCTGACAAGTCAGATCAGGTGATGGTGTGCTCAAGCGGGTGCACTAGGGGCAGACCTAATGGGACGTGAATGCCAAGGATGATGCATGAGACCTGACAGAGGGAGCTTTAAAGCCATGTGCTTGCTACTTAACCCTTCCATGCTCGCAGATCTTGGGAGGCAGCAGGTAGAAGAGAAATGGGGGGACAGTAGGGGTGGCAAGGAGGTGGTGGTTCCAGGAAGAAAGGACAGAATCGGAGTTATTAAGGCTCAAAATGAGAACTTCTTAGTGTGGGCACCAGAATGCACTGGAAAGAATATGGGCTAAAGAGCCCTAGTTCTGTACATGCCCACAGAAGTAGCTCTGCTTTCCTGGCTTCACCTGTCAACATTGGAAATAGCTTCGCTTTCCTGGTTTCACCTGTCAACATCACAGCACCCCCCCCCGATTCAGTACCACGATGATACCCATTTTACAGATGAGAACATTGAGGCCTAGGTAGGTAACTAACTCTCCCTCTGCATGTCCTGCTGCATGTCAGCTGTGCAAGAGGAAAGGCAGAGGAGCCGGGAGCGAGCAGAGAGTGAGGCAGAATGTGCCAGTAGCGGTCATGAAGACATGCCTGTGGAGAGGATTCTAGAAGCTGAACTTGCTGTTGAACCAAAGACAGAATCCTACGGTGACATGAACATGGAGAACTCGGTATGCAGAGTCTTAGATCTCCATCATCTTCCATTTCTTAGGTGGGGCTGGAGAGGACGGAGGATGTATGAGATTCCCAGGCCCTGTCTGTCACAGAACTTTGCTCTTTTTTCAGACGAATGACCCTGTTACCAACATATGTCATGCTGCTGACAAGCAGCTGTTTACCCTCGTAGAATGGGCCAAGCGTATACCCCACTTCTCCGACCTCACCCTGGAGGACCAGGTCATTCTGCTTCGGGCAGGTAAAACATATTGGCTTCCTCTTTTCATGGGACAATCACCTGGGCTGCCATTTTGAAATGACCCTTAGGATCCTACAGAGGGCAACCTGATGGAGCCGCAGCCATCCGAGTTGTGTACCATGCTGGCCATGAGGAAACCTCAGCCAGGGCTGTTCTTTCTAATGCTGTGGTAGGCTCCTCAAATGGTATGGGCTGCCCAAAAAGCTTCCATTCTCAAATGAAACATCGTTTGTTAATGAGGGAGTGGGACTCTTTTCCTAAGCCCACTTTACAGCATGGCTTTATCATTTGCATTTAATTTTCAAAGACTGTTAAATCATTTTTATTGAGGGTAATTTGAAACGGCACTTCATTCTGTCATGAGACTGGCAAGTAGAAATAATCCCATTTCACAGGTAAGATAAAGAAGCCAAAGATGTTTGCTCAAGTTTGTGCTAGATGGACTCCAAGGTCTCTTTCTATTTTAAGATTCTATGTGCTATATTCTCTCCTGTCTCCTATTTCTGGGACACTGTGCAGTCCGTTGACATATGCCATGTCTCCTCTTTGTCACTGAGCCAGCAGGGAAATTTCATGAAGATTGACTGAGCATTGGGAACCAGTCCACTCATTCATTTCTGTTAGATAATGAGCAGTCACTGAGTGTCGACTGAAAGTTACACACTGTGTTGGGTGTTCCCAGACAACACCAAAGAAATAAAACTAGACTGTCAGGTCCTGGGGGCAGAGCCTGGGAGGTATATTCACTTTACCCGCCCTGGCAGCTAACACCATGGCTATTGTCTGCTAAATGTTCAGTCTTATTTGTTGACTGATAAGAAAAAAAGGGAGTCATTGTCCTCAAGCTGCCATTCTGGGCTGCATCAGAGGGACAGTGGGGGGCTGGGTGGAGCCACCAGTCAGGAGACCCCAATCTTGTCCTTCATTTCTTCACTAATTAGCTGTGTCGTCTTGAACGACTTCTTGCCCTCCCTGGATTTTCAGTTCTGTTTGTGTTATGTGGGATGATAACATGTGCACTGGGCGGTTATCAATGAGGCAAGAATGCGGTCTGCTTTCCCTCAAGGCCCCTCCTTCTCCTTGCAGGGTGGAATGAACTGCTGATTGCCTCTTTCTCCCACCGCTCGGTGTCAGTGCAGGACGGCATCCTTCTGGCCACGGGCCTCCACGTGCACCGGAGCAGTGCCCACAGCGCTGGGGTCGGCTCCATCTTTGACAGGTGTCTCCCTTCTGTTCTAGGATTCCCATGCGTGTGTAGACATGTGTGTACACACAAACTCACGTGAACCTGTGAGTCGTGCTGGGATGTGGGCTGGGTGACCCAAACAGCTGCACATGACCACACAGAGACCGTTAAGCTCCTGAAAATCTAAACCTAGGGAACGAGAGAAGGGGATGAAGACAAAGGTTGAGGTCATGGCAGGATGGAGACTGTCAGAGGCTGGCTTGGTTGCGAGGCAGATGGGAGTTCCTGTTATCCCTGTGGGTTTCCAAGGAAGAGGTTGGGCTATTGACATCAGCTGGTAAGCTGGGGATGGGGAGGTGGCCTGCTCATCCCAGTTAGGCCAAGGATGGAGACAAAGCTCAGGATCTGTCTTCAGGAGGCCAGGTGAGATGGGTTGTTTATGTTGGACTCTGTGATCCTGTAGCAGGAGTGACACCTTGGCAGAAATCCTGTGCCTCTAAGGATGAGAAAGGAAAACTGAGACTGCTGGTTTAAAGGGATAAATGAAATGAGTAGATTCATGACTCAGGGGTGAGAGCATGCCGAACTGGTCAAGAGGAGCATGAGGTTGAAAATCGTCTCTCTGTCCCATGCCAGGGCCCAGTGGCTCCTCTCGCCTCAGTCGCAGGTGGTCGGTCTTCCTGGGTGTATGTCCACCTGAGATGTGCACCTTCTTCCCTGCCTGTCCTACTACATGCTTGGTGTAGAGCGCAACACAACCTTTGGAATGGCTCGGTCCCCTTCATGGGTCCTGAGGGCTCTGCCCTTGTGCTGAACGGCTCTCCCTGCTGTGTTCTAGAGAGCCCTGCCCCATCACTGCTTTGCCTGTTGTGCTTCTAAAGTTTCTGATTTCCAAGCCTTCGATGTGTTCCCCAACCCCGCTCAGAGTTCTTGGCTTCCGCCTTGGCGCACCCCTGGCCTTTGCCTCCCATGCGCCTTTGTGTTGCTGCTTGTTGTTTCTGTGTCTGTTCCATGCAGGGAGGGACTGTGTCTTCTTCACCTCTGTACCCCTAGTGCCAGGTGCATCATCTAGACACAGAGAGAGTTCATAAAATAATGCTTGCATTCATTCAGTTGGTCCTTGGCCCCGTACTAATGGTGTTCTCATGACCTGCCCTTGTTTCCTGCAAACAGAGTTCTGACCGAGCTGGTTTCCAAAATGAAAGACATGCAGATGGACAAGTCGGAGCTGGGGTGCCTGCGAGCCATTGTACTGTTTAACCCAGGTGACCGCCATCCCTCCCCAGGGCTGCGTGCTGTCCAGCCCTCCTCCATGGCTAACTGCAGTGCTCCAACAGCTTCTGGTCCTCCAGCTCAGTGGAGACAGAGAGGGCAGGGCTAGGACTCCAGGAGAGCTCAGAAAGTCAACTGCTCACAACTTCTACCCCTAGAGCCACCTTCAGAATTTTTTTTTTTTTGAGTTAGAGTTTCACTCTGTCACCTAGGCTAGAGAGCAGTGGTACACTCATGGCCACCCCAGCGTTGACCTGCTGGGCTCCAGTGATCCTTCCACCTCAGCCTTCCAAGTAGCTGGAACTACAGGCATGTGTTACCATGCCCGGCGAATTTTTTGATTTATTGTAGAGACAAGGTCTCACCAAGTTGCTTGGGCTGGTCTCTAACCTGCGGGCTCAGGCAATCCACTCGCCATGGCTTCCCAAAGTGCTGGGATTACTGGCTGAACCACTGAGCCTGGCCCAATTTTTTTTTTAAAGTCAGAGTCTCACTCTCACCGAGGCTGAAGTGAGTGAGATTCAGAGGCATGACCACAGTTCACTGTATCCTCCAACTCATGAACTCAAGTGATCCTCCTACCTCAGCCTTCCAAGTAGCTGGGGCTATAGGTGTGCACTACCACACCTGATTTACTTTTTTATTTTTATAGAGATGAAGTCTTGCTATGTTGTCCAGGCCAGTCTTGAACTCCTGGGCTCAAGCAGTCTTCCCACTGAAGCCTTCCAAAGTGCTAGAATTACAGGCGTGAGCCACTGTGCTTGACCAGAAATGTTTTGAGTGGATACTCACTGCACACCTTTGGGGGCAAGTGGGGAAGATGGGTGATATCTGGGTGGCTCATGGTGCTAGTGAAAGAGGTAGTAACAAGTGGTCAGAGTATGGGTAAAGCCACGGGGATTGGTCGATGGATTGGATACAGGATATGAAAGAAAGAGAGGAGTTTGTAATTCTTGGGGTTTTTCATTTTGTTTTGCTTTCCTGAACAATTGGGAAGATGATGTTGTCATTCACTAAGAGGGAGCTCCAGGGGAAGTGAGCTCTGAGGGTGAGTGGGCAGGAATCAAGGGCTTGTCTCTGGCCATTAAAATCGGAGGGAGATCGTGGACATTCAAGAGCAGCTCTCCAGGAAGCGACAGCTCACGTGAGCCTGGATTTCACAGGAGAAGCCAGGACCAGAAGCTGTCTGCCTCCACCTGTGTGAGCCACAAAACCGGGCGAGGTCATCCAGGGAGTACATAAAACTAGAGAGGACGGCTGGGGGCTGAGCCTGGGGCAAGCCAACGTTTAGGGGTCAGGATAAAAGGAAGAGCTGGCCGAGGAGCCTGAGAAGCGTTGTCAGAGGGACAGGGAGAGAACCAGAGGAGCAGTGTCCTGGAAGCCCAGGGGACAAAGTCATTTCGAGGAGGAGGAGGTGATCAGCTTCATCAAAGGCAGCTGCGGGCCAAGGAAGACAAGCCTTCAGGATTACGTGGCAATTTACTCATGTGCTTTAGCTCCAGAATCAGGCATTCACTGATGTTGGACTCGTGTCCATTTAGTTTTGCATACCATCTCATCACTTAGTCCCCATTTAGAATGTGGTAAATGCTCAGTAAGCATCTGCAGGTGATCTTTCTAGGCTGGTCCAGATAAAACAAAGCTCTCCTCTGAGGAGTTAGTGGTGGGTACATTTGGCTATGAACAGGGTTTCAACCCTTTGCCCCAAGAGTTTATTGGGTAGATTGGGCACAGGAAGGAGAGCAAGGGGCACGGTGACCAACTTTGTTTATTTCATAATTATCCCTTATCCAGGATGTCTCTGATAACCCTAGCGGAGGTGGTCAGGGGGAGGGAGGACAGCTCTGTGACAGGTTATGTTACCAGAGGCTAAATCAGTGGTCTTTTTTAGATGCCAAGGGCCTGTCCAACCCCTCTGAGGTGGAGACTCTTCGAGAGAAGGTTTATGCCACCCTCGAGGCCTACACCAAGCAGAAGTATCCAGAACAGCCAGGCAGGTGAGAGAGTGCTGGGGACTATACCCACAGCAGCTACCACTCTCCGTTAACTGAGCATTTGATGTGCAGCAGATCCTGGTGAGATGGTTTCAAATGTGATGCCATCTTCAAACAAGCTGAAAGTCACTAAAAGGCTGACTCCCTGGGGCTAGAGGTCCCGTCTGTCTCACTCACCATCTCTCCTCAGGCACCAGCACCCAGAGCGGTGCCTGGCACACAGCACACATCTCTAAATGTTGGATGGATGACAAATGCATGAGTGCGTATGAGAGTCCTCATCTCCACTTTACCAAGGAATGAAGCTCAGCAAGGTTAAGTAACTTGCTGGAGATCACAGAACTGGCTTGCAGGGGAGGTGGAATGGGAGCCCCAATTGGGCTGATGTCACAGAGCCTGTAGTCTGACGTTTGACCACGGTGCTTTCTGGTCTGCCCCCGCACCCCTCCCCCGACAGTAGAAAGCACCGGCTTTGGGAGTCAGGAGATGTGGCTGCTGGTCCCTAGGGTGCCGTCTCTGTGGCCTCCATCAAGGTGCTGGGTCAAGTTTGGGCTCCTCATTTGGAAGGAAGGACGTTGTTCTAGAAGATCTCTGAGCCCATCTTGCAGTTTAGGTATTTCTGAGTTATTTTAAAAAACGTTGTTCTCAAAAGTTTCTTCCAAAGTTCAGCTAAACACAAGGAGTTGTTCCTTTTGTTATTCCAGTTAAAATGAGAAAATAGGATCCTCAAACCTCATAGAAAACTGGAAGTGAAACGGAAAAGACTGTCTTCAAGATATATTAGTTTTGTCTTTAGGACTGATCTTTTATGCTCTTGATTCTCACTGATAATTTTTATTCCTCTGGGAAGTCTAATATCCATTAATCTGTTTATTCTGGGTTATATGCCAATGTCTATCAACTGACCCAGGAGGCTGAACTGTATTTTATTTTATCCCACTTTGCCACCCAGGCTGGAATGCAGTGGCGCTATCATAGCTCACTGCAGCCTCAATCTCCTAGACTCAAGCTATCCTCCCTCCTCAGCCTCCCAAGTAGCTGGAACTACAGGCATGCGCCACCATGCCCAGCTATTTTTAAAAATTTTTGTAGAGATGGGGTCTTACAATGTTATTCAGTAAGCTGTGTTTTCTGTTGGAGGCTATGGATAAATCTGAGTGGATGGGGTTCAACCTCTTGATGCAATGAATAGGCAGGTCTAGTATATTACTAGTATATGAGTAAGAGAGATTAAACTGTAGAAACAGACCTACCAAATGTCAGGACCTTAATATAATAGTAGGTTTTTTGTGTTCACAAATCTGGGTAGGTAGTCTGTTCAGAGATGCGGCTCTTTTTCCGCCATCACTCAGAGATCCAGGCTCCTTCCATCTGGAGCCACACTGGGTTTTGCACCCAGATAGTGGGAGGGGAGAGAGGTGGAGGAGCCTAGGTGGGCCCTAGGTCTTGCGAGGTCCCTTATCCTCAGTCACTTCCATTGACTGAAGCTTAGTCACGTGACCCAGCCAGCCCCAAAAGAGTCTGGTGAGCACCTGGCAGTCTCTTCTTCCCCTCAACAGGTGAGGCTGGGAGAGCCCTGCCCAAGGGGTTGGGACCTGGCTGCCAGCATCAGTGTGATCCCTGGCAGGTGCGAGCCCTGGGTAAGTCATGTTAACTGAAGCCCTGAGTTGGGTGCTTTCTACCGAGTCTTCCAGTGCTATGGCAACAGTAGATGGGCTTTTTGAGCACATATTTTGTGCAGGGCATTAGGAACAGTGAGCCTCATTCTCAGGCTTTCCCTGAAATTGGCTCTAGGTCTTGCTGTTTATCTTTAAAACAAACAAACAAACAAAACACAATTTTCTTTTTTCCTAATGATAAAAGCAGCGCATGCTTTAGTAAAAACAAGAAAAGTATTTTTTAGATCAGGTAATAAAAACTGACTGTAAATATTTTGGTATGTTTCTTTCCTGCATCCTTGTGTATCTATGAATGTGTCTGCAGAAATAGTATTTACAGAGATGAAAGTAGACGATTTCGTGTATGATTTTTTTCCTGTTTTTCATTTAGGAATTTTATCAAAGTATTGACAAGTACAAATGATCATTGTCAATGGTTTTGTAATATTTCTCTGTCTGGATGTCTCCCAATGTATTTAGCCACTGCCCTGTGGTTGACGGTTAGGTTGTTTTTAATGAATATCACTTTTTAAAAAATTTTTTTATTTTTATTCATTTTTTTTTTTTTAGTTGGAGTCTCACTCCTTGGTCCAGGCTGGAGTGCAGTGGCATGCTCACGGCCACCCCAGCATTGACCTGCTGGGCTCCGGCGATCCTTCTGCCTCAGCCTTCCAAGTGGCCAGAACTACAGGCATGCGCTATTTTTTGATTTATTGTAGAGACGAGGTCTTGCCAGGTTGCCCGGGTGGGTCTTCAACCCTCGGGCTCAGGCAACCCACTCGCCTCGGCCTCCCAAAGTGCTGGGATTACTGGCTGAGCCACCGAGTCGGGCCATGAATATCACTTTTAAAACTTTAGAACTTGACTCTTCCTGGAAGAGGGCTGCCAGGGCCTGGGCTGCCTCCAGACACAGTGAAGAGATGCCAACTCTTGTTGCCATAGAGCTGGGAGACGTGGTAGAAAGCATCCAACTCACAGCTTCAGTTTCATGGCTTGCCCCGGTCACGCACCTGCCAGGGGCCTAGCTCATGCTGGCAACCAGGCCCTCCGGCAAGGCAGAGCCTGGAACTTCAGAGAGGTGGCAGGGGCTGGATCCCTTCCTGACCCCTGGGTTCATCCAGAACAGCTTGGAAAGGGGGTGTCCGTCTGGATCAAGTCTTCGCCGGAGGCTCAGCAGGTACACCAGGGCGCCACTGACCACGCAGGTGGGCGTGCTGAAGGCTAGTCACCTCTGGTTCACAGGACCTGGTGGAGGGATTCTGGCACTGTCAGGTCAAGACTATCTTCTCAGTGGTGGACTGCTGCCATCCCGTGGAGACTTCTCAGAAGCGCACCTCACAGGGGCGGAGTCCTGCTTCCTCCAGCCAGAAAGTAGCAATCAAGACTGAGGAGGACACCGAGCTCACACACTCATTCTCCTGCACACACCACAGGCGCCTTCAAAGGCGTGAATGCCCCTTGCCGCCACCACGCGAATGAGGAACATGGTGACAGTTCCATGGCTGTCTCCATTCATGGGGTTTTATTTCTATTAGCCCTGATCTCAGTTCCTTAATCCAGGACACACAGCAAAGCGCAGTGTTCTGGCATAGTTAGCATTTCTCATATTGTGAAACTTTGATACTTTTAGTCAAAAAAATTTTAAAAAGTTGATCTCAGTTTAATTTTGCACTTTACAGGAAAGCTGTTTCCTGTGCCTTTTAAAACTCCTTTTTAAGTTTTATTTTTAGGGACAGAGTCTTGTTGTGTGACCCAGGATAGAGCGCAGAGGTGTGATCATAGCTCACTGCAACCTCAAACTCCTGGGCTTGAACAATCCTCCTACATCAGCCTCCTGAGTTGGGAGTACATGGTTCACACCACCACTCCTGTCTACTTTTTAAAAATTGTGGTTATTTTTTTTGTAGAGACAGGGCCTCGTTATGTTGCCCAGGTCTTGAACTACTGACCTCAAGAGATCCTCCCGCCTTCGCCTTCCAAAGGGTTGGGCTTACAGGCATGAGTCACTGTGCCCAGCCTAATTCCCTAAAACTCTTTAATGACACCACCAGGGGCTCAGTCTCCTTCCCCCTATCTAACCACCTCTTTGCTGCACAGTGATGTCATTCAGATGCCTGCAGGGGCTTGATCACTGGAAGCTTTCAAAGGTATATGTTGGCATTGGCATAGACCTGTCATTCCTCCATGCAGAGAAGCGATTTCTACTTTCTGAGATGATGCTACTCTGTTTTCTTATATTGCTACATTTCCATCCACATCATGAGGTATGAATGTAAACATTCACACACTTTCAAGGAACCCTGAAATCCAGTTTGTCACTTTTTCATGAAATGATGTTGTGATGCTCTGAGATCTCTGACTTGGGGCTATAAAGACTGATGTGATTCTGGCCCTCGCACTCTTTGTTGGAAGTTGTGAGTAGAGTGACTTAATTTCTAGTAGCATTAATGACGTTTAAGCTGAACTGGCATTGCCTTGGCTTAGAAGGATTTGCGGCAGAGGGCCACACGGGCTGAGTGGGAAAGGTCGCAGTGCGAGAGGCCTAGGGAACAACACATGGGAGATGAGTTCTTTCACACCCCGGTCTCTCCCTTGTGTGTCCCTCCTGATGAAGGTCCTCAGTTATAGGAAAGTGTGTGAGGGTGTGTATGTGCGGAGTGTGTGAGAGTGAGTGTGTGTGCATGTATATGTTGTAAGAGCATGTGGGAGTGTGTATGCATGTGTGCACGCATGTGTGAAACCATGTGCATGAGGTATGTGTGTACACATGTGTATGTGTGACCTCACGTGTGACCAAAGTATGAGAGCATGTGAGTGTGTGAATGAGTGTGTAAACATGTGCAAGGGTGTGTAAGGATGAGAGTGTGTGTGCGTGTGTGTATTGTGAGGATGTGTGAAACTGTAAGGAGTGTGCGTGTGTGTACGCACGAGTGGGGAAGAGTGGAAGTGTGTGCATGAGAGTGAGTGTGTACGAGCGTATGAGTGTGCATGTGTGAGTGGCAAGGGTGTGTGCGTGAATGCACATGTGTGGGTACATGTAAGAACATGTGAGTCAGTGTGTATGTGTGTCTGTGTTTTGTCTCCCCAGACAGACCATGGACTCCTCAGGCACAGAATACATTCTGGCTCCTTCTTTTCCTAACATAAAGGGAGGCACAAACTAAGAAACTTATCATAGGGCGGCCATACCTCATCAACAAGGGTACCTGCATAATCAATGTTTGTATACCTAACCCTGAATTTTACCCCATATCTTTAAAATTAAAAAAAAAATTTAAAGAATCTTATCATAAAAATTGGTAACAGTCAGCTACAAATTGGCAAGAATATTTGGTAACAGCTTGCATTGGTGACCTGGCCTGTAATCCCAGCTACCTGGAGGGGGAGGTAGGAGGATGGCTTGAGCCCAGGAGTTCCCGTCCAGCCAGGGCAGCGCAGCGAGACCCTCTTTCTAAAAAATATATTTTTTAAATGTGGCAACTGAAGCAAATTGAGGTCCCATTGCTTAAAGGAACTGTACCTTGAGGAAGACAGCAGGCTTCCAAGCCAGAGGCCACCTGGGCTCATGCCCGTTTCATGTCCCAGAGCCTGTTGCATTATCTGGAGCTGGAGCATGGCCATCTAGTGGCCACAATGCCCACGGACTCGCACACCTGCGGCGGCGTGCTCCAGCAGGTCAGCACAGGAAGCCTTGGGATGCAGAGTGTCAGGACAGCAGCCATTGAGGGCTGGCCATACGGGTCCTCAGAGCGGTCCAGTTTCTCCTGCCCCGCCTCCATGGTGAAGAAGGGGCAAGGGACCATCCCAGGACATGGACGCAGGAGTCAAGGTTTCCAGGACGTCCTGCTCCACCTTTTGCCTCTGGGAGGGACAAGCCCTCTGGCCTAGGACTGGAGCCTCTTCAACCAACCTCTCTCCTCCCCTTCACGCTCCTGTCTCTGACACAGCCTGGCCGAGCCTGACGCCTCTGCTTCCCCACAGGTTCGCCAAGCTGCTGCTACGCCTCCCGGCCTTGCGCTCCATCGGCCTCAAGTGCCTGGAGCACCTCTTCTTCTTCAAGCTCATCGGGGACACCCCCATTGACACCTTCCTCATGGAGATGCTGGAGACGCCGCTGCAGATCACCTGAACCCTTCGGCTGCCGCCCCCTCCTGGGATCAGCCTGGGCAGGTGTGTGTGGACTCGGGCCCTGTCCACGCCTCTCCACCTCCCACCCTGACCCCTTCCTGTCCCCCAAATGTGACGCTTATAATAAAGAAACCTTTCTACACGCGAGATTTTATAGGTGGACTTTTGTAGAGGTGGGAAAGGTCGCCCTTCTTCGGTATCTAAGGGGCTGGGGGGGTTCTGGAAGTTTCTGGGGAAGTGAATCAAGCCTCTGTACATAGGATCGGTTTAAATTATTTTTTCACTTGCCATGGAACGCAAACAAACAGATAATAAAATACTATGGTATCGGCATGACTGGAGCGCAGGGTGTGTTATTGTGCTCAGACATAGTGGAGGGCCGTGGGGGCTGGAAGTGGGCTGGGGGTAGCCTGGGGTCCTGAGCCAGTGAGTCCAGGGCGGCCCCAGAGGAGGCAGGAAGAGACACTTCCAGAATCAGCTGGCTTGTTTTTTTCCTCCTCAGAATAGTGAGCAGAAAGAGTCTTGTCCTGGAGGGGGGCAGTTGTGTCTACGGTCAAAAGAAAGCGTTCTCTTGACCAGGGAAGGTTCTCGGTTCCCAGGTGGTGATGTGTGGTGGTGACAAAGGAATGGGTTTATTTTATTTTTTATTTTAGCTGTGGGGTACAAGTGAGAATTCACTACATGAGTAGGTTGCACGCAGGTGAAGTTTGGGCTTCGAGCGGGCCCTCTCTCCCCTGATCGAGGACCAGGTGCTCCGTGTATTGCCACGTGCGGGTCTCCCTCCCTCCTGCTGCCCTCCCAGCAGTGTCCAATGCCTGCCAATCCCATTCTTGGCTCGTGTGACCAGGAAGCAGGGCCCATTATGAGTGAGAACATGTTTTCTGTCATTAGCCAGCAACTGTAGCCTAAAGACTAAGCATGCCAAGCTCATTCACCATCTTGGTCTGACCTCACACAGCCTGTTCTTAGGGGCAAGTGAGGGAAGCCTGCCCCCTGCTCCTAGCCAAGGCTCTGCAGGGTTACCTAGTGGCCCTGGAGCCTTGCTCTTTGCTGGGCAGCGAGCTCCCTGACTGGTAGGGACTGTGTCTGACGGACACCATAGCCAGCCTATGTAGCTCATCGTCTCCAAGTCACCTTCCTGCCATCTGTAGAAATGGACCTTAACAGATACACAAATCTATGTATGCTATGATTTACGTGGTGATGCCTAGGGTTATAGGTGCACAGCCTGAACAATAGCACATGGCAGTCCTGCTTACCTTCTCTGTGCCACCAGAACCTGACTTGGGACATACAGTAGACACACACTAATGTTGTTGAATTTGGTTCCACACGACTAGAAAGAATTCCCTAAAGGATGATGTGGATGATGTTTGCATTACCAGATCATTCTGTTTCACATACCATATAAGGAATCAGGAATTTCTGGAAATTCTAAGTCGTATCTTCATGGGTGAAATGGGAATAAACCACGCCATCTCCCTGTGCTGGCTGTGAACCAACAGCAAGGGGGTCTGGTCACTGCAGCACTATCTGTGAGTCAGATCAGAGAAGACTGAGCAGGAAAGTGCCATGGTTACAAGTATGACTCGGAGTCAGCCCGGCTGGCCTCAATTGAAACCCCATCTGATCTCCGAGTAACCCTGGGAAAGGGATTTAACCTCTTGACCTTAGTTTTCAATTCTGTAAACTGGAATCACAACAGGCCCTTCCCACAGGGCTTGTTGAGAGAAGCAGATGAGTTGATCTCTTGAAGGCACACAGGACTACACCTGGCACATGATGAACTCCCAGTTAATTTTAGTACGCTGTGTGCTATTATTGATCCAATGATCTTCCACAGGATCCCTGCTCCAAAAACAGAGTCTAGACTCTGTGGGAAAGCCCCCTCCCTACACCTAGCTCCTCCCCCCTTCCTCTCTAACCCGGTATCCCCAGCCCCCCAAGCCTTTACCCTCCACACTGATGACTCATTGGGGAAGCATGGGCCCTGACCCTCCTCACATGGCTGGTGTGGGAATCAAAGGACATGATGTCAAAACAGCACTTTATGCACTAGTAAGGATGATGAAAAAGATGTTGGCCAGGCACGGTGGCTCAGGCCTGTCATCCTGGTGTGAGGCTACAGTGAGCCAGGAGCACACTGCTGGACTCCAACCTGGGTGACAGAGTGAGACCCTGTGGCAAAAAAAAAAAAAAAAAAGTCATTTGCACAGCGAACACTCCTTGGCCTCTCCTCTTCCTGTCATTCAATGAAATCTACCAAACATTTGGTTATAATTTTATACTACTTCCTTGCTTGAAACATTCAGTGACTTTCTATTCCTTATTAAACAGTCTCACCAGGGAGCAAGTCTCCCCCCACTCTCCTGACATTTGGCAACAAGGGAGGACGCTTTGATTGTCATGACTGGGGGAGTTGCACCTGGCAAAGGCCAGGGAAGCAGCTAAGTGTCTCTAGGGCACAAGGCAAGTCCACACAGAGAATGCCCTGGACCCAAATGTCGATGGTACTGAGACTGAGAAGCTCTGCTAAAAAGCACTGCAAGTGGAATAAAATATCAAATAGGGCCTGGCACAGTGGCTCACACTTGTAATCCCAGCATTCTGGGAAGCCAAGGTGGGAGGATTGCTTGAACCCAGGAGTTTGAGACTAGCCTGGGCAACATAGCAAGACTTTGTCTCAATAAAATAAAATATTTTTTAAAAAGTATAAAATAAAATAATCATCCTTGTCCTTAAAGAAGTGCCCGTGGCTAAAAATATTTTTAAAAAATCAAACGGTATTTTTCTACTGTTCTGGAGGTTCATCTAAAGGTCAAGGGTGAGGCCAGGAGGTCCCCTCCTATTCTAGAGAGGAGTTACCAGATGCAGCCACACAGGGGCTTGTCAAGATGGGTGAGCCAGTGCTGTGACTTCTACCTTATTACTGTTCTTGATTCTGCATTCCTCGATGACTGGAATTGACAAGGGGGTTCCCTTAGAATGAGGAAAACTTGGGGAGCAGTGCTGTGGTTCTGCCTCACCCGTCCGGGGTGTGCAGAGACATGGAGAGGGCCCCCATCCCCGAGCCAACAAGGGGGTCCCAGAAGAACCACCTGCTGAGAGGGGGCGTGGGACCTACACACTGGGGGAGATGGCACCTGCATCCTGGCTAGATGCTGGCTCAGGGGCAGAAACCACAGCCCCATCCAATGGAGAGGGCAGGAAGGGAGTGTGGGAGTGCTCAGGGCCACTGTGAGCATCGAGATGGATGCCTCTTCTCGATGGAGACCTCTGAAAGCATGGGACCCTTGGGAGGGCACTAGGGGGCAGGGAAGAGGGAGCAGCCCATGCCCCCCACCCTCCTAGAATGTGGCATCTTCTGTGGATCAAGCGAATACCCCGGAAAGAAGTTGTGTTTAGAATATCTTGAAGGAGCCAGGCCCAAGAGAATGGCCTCTCAAGGAAAGGGAACCCCAGCAGGAAGAGACTGTGGGCTGAGCTCTGTGGGCTGGAATGAGGGGTAAAGCAGAGGTTGTCATCACCTCAAACAGAGCCCATCATGTGTTGGACACACCTGGTTGTTGTGCAGCATCAATTTCCCAGGGGTCTTCTGAAGAGCTAGGCTAGCCATGGGTCCTCAGAAGAGAGCCCCTGATGGACAATTGCCACATGGCAGCCATCAAGAGCACCGTGCTCGTAAGAGCATTTCTCTCTCATCCCATCCTCCTCCAGGGCTCAATTCTCTGGTAAAGTAAGAGGAGGAGGACCCAAAAGAAGAAGAAAATGGAAGAAGGTGGAGGAAGAGTTGAAGAATTGACCTCTAAGTTTGGGAGATAGTTTGGGCTTTTCCCAAGGTACTCTTAATGGGAAAGTGGTGGGAACACCATGATGCTGATTTGAAGACTGTGGCTGGAAGAGATAAAAACTTTTCCTGTGTGTATTCCCCTGACCTAGAGGTTCTGCAATGCCAGTTGCACTAGTGAAAGCTGGGGCTGCAGGCATGCACCACCTTGACCCCGCCTTTGTTGGTTACCAACCCTTCAGCCCAGGTGACATCACTTTCACTTCCCCCTGGGAGTGAGTGAAGGTGGCTGGTCAGAACCCACCTCTTAGTGCATCAGCCCAATGATCCAGTTCCATCTCTGAGATTAGACCCCACTTTTTTTTTTTTTTTTTTTGTCAGGATCTCACTCTGTCATTCCGGCTGGAGTGCAGTGGTATGATCACAGCTCACTGTAGCCTCAAACTCCTGTGCTCAGGCCATCTTTCCCTCTCAGCCTCCTGATTAGCTAGGACTACAGGTGCATACCACTATGCCTGGCCAATTTTTAAAACTTTTTTGTAGAGATGTGGTCTCACTATGTTGCCTAGACTAGTCTTGAACTCCTGGGCTTAAGCAGTCCTCTTGTCTTGGTGTTGGGAGCCGGCCGTGGAGGCCCGCCTGAGCATTAGGGATCCAGGCGGGCTGCGGACCTTGAGACCACCAGGCTGGTTCAGGAGCTGAAGGCCCATTCCCTCCTCCTTCCTTTGTTGTTTAGCATTACCCACTGGCAGGGATTTTGATGATCTAAGTATGAAGTTCTGAGAATATGACAGGCATGGCTGACTCTAGGGATCCATTGTTCCCGTTTCTCACAGACTGCAGTTTTGGCTTTAAACTTAACACAGTTCAAACTCAGATCACATTTGGGAGCCTTATACATGATACAAGCTTCTTTATAAGATTTAAAAATATATTTGTAAAATTAGTATATACATTTAGAGGGCTGTTTCCAGTGTTAGATGGTATAGATGATTATCTGGGGTTACCAGAGATGGCCCAGCACAAATTTGGGCTGGGCCACATTCTTTAGGAACTGGTTTAAGCCATAATTAAGAATTGTTTATAGTACAGGTAAAATTAGCACAGATAAGAAAGGTATTAGGATTTTAGTCAGTTATATTGCTTTTGAGGAATATAAACCAAGCATGAGGAACAGTGAGATAACTTTGGAATTGTCCTTCCTCATGCTTGGGAAAACACCTGGTGGGTGGGGGACACCTCCCACCCACCTGGCTTTGTGTTCACGCAAAACTCTTGTGATTTGATTGGGATTGTCCTTCCTCATTCCTAAGGAAATGCCTGGTGGGTGGGGGACGCCCCTCACCTACCTGGCTTTGTGCTCACGTGAAAGTCTTGTGATTTAACATGTGAAAGTTTGGGATAAAAGACTCACGTTTGTTCCAAATAAACGGCTTCTGCTCATTTCACTGAACAGTTGTCCACTTTCTTTCTTTCTCTTTATATCTATCCCTCCATCTTTCTTTCTATATCTATCCCTACTATAGAATTGGCTTCTGCACTAGAC